AGGAGTAGTTGGTTGAGGAGGTGGAGGAGGTGGTGTTTTGTTATTAAGGTTTCTCCTTGGATTTCTGCGAGGCGGTATCTTTTATCTATAAGTTTATGAAGATGAAAACATTGATAAGAATTTGACGGAAGAATTGATGAGAATGACTCACAGACTAATTCTTCGTGGCCCAACAATACAATTGAATGTAGATCTAGAACTATTAGGTGATCTCATTTGGATAATGATTCCCATATGATTAGGTACCTGTCAATATTACTGGGATTACAGATGTAACAAGTTCGGGAAAAATGACCTACAGTAGGAGACCTTACATCAACCAAAATGGGAAAATTTTGACAGAAATACAACCTAACCAAGACCTAACAGGCCTATGATTTACAAAGATAGGGAATTAGACTAATGATTTACATAACTAGGTTATATCCAAAAGAGAGATGTTGATGAGAATCTATCAGCGACGAGAACTACCAGAGTGAGTTCTTGATTCCGACAGGAGACGTTCTATGTCCCTCATGCGCCTATCAGCTCTTGCTTGTTGAGCTCGAAGTTCTCTAACTTCAGCTTGGGTTTCAGCGAGTTCCCTCCGAAGAGCTGCATTGTGAACCAGAGCCCTTTCGTGAGCAGACTCTAGTTGGAAAATGCGGACAGTGTTAACGCCAGAATTAGCGTCAATCTCCAAGACTCGATTGATAGTTGATTGACCCAGTATCGTGTTCCGAGAAATCCTACGAACCATGACAGGTAGGACCCTACCAGCAGAACCTCCCTCAGTGATGTCGTAGAAACTTCTGTCTCCATTGTAGGGAATGGATTGACCCTGTTCCTGGCTCCATGTATTTAAATTTGTTGCCCACGGAGGTGTGGATCTTTGGAATGCGGGTCAGGGGTTGTTATTCGGGGCTTGACCTACTTGAGGTAGGTTGTTGACTTCGGGCTCGGAGTCAATTCATCCGAGAATCCTTTTGCTTGATGATCATCCAAAGGGATTTGATGCTCATCATCGGACTCTGCTTCGAGCCATCCAACATTGTCGTTGTGTGGAAAGTACGGGTCATCATGATGATAGAACCCAACCATGATATCTATGCAAGAAAAGAGATAAGGAACTAATTAATAGACGGACTAACTAGATAATTATAAGGTGATCTTTATCAGTTATTCCAATACTTGTCTAGGGCATACAAGTTATACGTAATCCGGAACATGATAGACGTTCGAATAGTTGATCCTAACTCTAAGCCCACAACCAAACAAGGACAGGAAATGAAGCAAAGATTCACAGATTTTTAGTCTATGGCACCTTAGGTACATATAACCTTAGTGTATCCACTGGACAGCTATTGACATACTGATAAAGACCTTTAGTTCTCAGATTAGTAATTATAGTAACACGAAATACTCCTATAGTATTTTCAGTTTAATGTTATGTTCTACTCTTCTTATTGTGGTAGTGTTGGTAAGTTTTTAGACTTATTGCAACCTCACAACCATATTTAGGCACATGCTAGTCACTCCTCGGATAATGTAGTTGATCAGGCTACATCTTCCCAGGGTTGATCATATGTCTCTAAGTCTACTTATGTTGTCCAACAATCGTAATACTTTTGTTATGTCCTAGTGACACTAATTTTAGTATGAATGTAGGTATGTATACTTAGTTAAATATTTTATTATTTAAAAGTATAAACTCTTTATCAGAGTAATTTAATCCCGCTTGTGTTTATATTTCGTTTATATTTTATGGGTTGATACACTCAATTCACTATAAACAATGCTCTGATACCAATCTGTCACACCCCAAAACCTGAAAGGCGGAATCGTTCAAGGGTGGGGGACATCATGTATAATATCACAACAATGCAAAAGTAGTAAACAAGCAACAACATCATCCATTGCATTAATAATATAATTTCATACAAGTGTGTTCTTTCAAGTTATATAGACAACGAAAAGTACATTAAAATAAAATAGGAGTCTTGAACAAGCTCCATCTTCTCATAAACCTGGCACCGGTACCTTTCTACTGGCGACCTGAGAATACAAGTTATTTTGAAAGCGAGTATCAGCTTTAAAGCTGGTGAGATCATAAGTATATTAGTGTATGTGTTTGTATGAAAGCATTTGTAAGATGTAATGTATAAGTTTTGTAAAGTTTGTATTTGTTTGAACTATGCTAGAAAACCTTATGTTTCCTACTAAAAGTAGCCTTCTACCAAGGCATCTAGTAACTGTGTGTGTGTGTGTCTTATGTAAGAGTGTATATTTTCCCAAAACCGACTATCATTAACCAAAAATATAAGTTTTACATTACTGCACATCGTGTGAATGTTCACGAAGTGAATGTAATAGGGAAATATTATAGTACTGTAGTGTTGTATTAACTAATTACTGCTATACTAACTACCTTAAACCAATTGTCATTTAAAGTACCATGTGATCGGCCCGTACCATGCTACCGACTCAATAGTAAAACGACGATGTAAGAAGCCGTAAGAAATGACATTTGGCACCCGTAGACTTGCAAGTCCCACTGTAGCGAGCAACAAGGTGTAGGATAGTCAATCCAGTATAGATGTATACGCAAACTCATACGCTCCCCAATTAAGGAGATTCTGGATACAAAAACGGTCATGGAAGGTAGTGCGATGACCCGTTTAATGGCTCACAGAACTGAATGTAATGTATATGTAATGTATGTGCTAGTTGTATTGTGTGTTCTTTCTCTGTCTAGCATGTATGTTTGTTTCTCATCACTATGTATTATGTTTGTTTCTCATAACTATATATTTTGTTTGTTTCTCATCACTATGTATTATGTTTGTTTGTCATTACTATGTATTATGTTTGTTTCTCATCACTAAGTTCTATGTTTGTTTCTCATCACTATGTTAACATGTTTGTATACCCTTGCTACCCAAGGGCATTGTATCTCTTGACTCATGTATGAATTGACTCTTTTTATGTTTCATTGTTCTAGTACTAGTATTAGTATCTTCCTAAACTACTCATATAGTAGTTTACTAGCAATGTATGATCATGATTGAATACCTTTGCTACCCAAAGTTATGGATCTAAATGAAAGAAATTTTATGACTATATATGTGTACATGATATACAATTAATATTTAAACCACCTTCGGATGGATAACCGTTGCCTTAAAGCCACATCCAAACAAGGAAAAGGAATTAAAACGAGTTAGCCTTCCTAAGTCCTTTAAACATTTCTTATATAACTATACATATAGAGGCAGGCATTTGACAATATATATGTATAAAAGAGTTTAAGTAAAAGTGTTTGACAAGTAAAAGGGTTTTGTAAAACATTTTGAAGTAAAACAGTTTAGTAAATAGTTTAACAAGTAATAATACTACTTGTTTGGTAGTTATTAATCACATGTGATTGATATAATAACTATAATTGTTCAAATTGTATCTCTCTCTCCCCCCCCCCTCCCCATTAAATGCATTTAAAAACGTTTAAACCATTGATTAAGGGGTATGAAATCACCTGTAGTGAGTGGTTTGAATGAACATATTGTACAGGATGATAGGTGTCAAGTGAAGGCTTGAACACACATATGGATCCTATTTAACATATATGACACATATATGAATACAATTAGTGTTTAAAACCACTAATTATTGAGTTGGGACCACCTTAGGGACTAGTAAACACTTATATTGAAGTGTTATAACCATAAATGATTGCATATAAGGGGCATTTGGCTACACAATGGAGTGTGCGGCAAATACACACACTATACGTGTGTGTGCAGCCAGGAGGCGTGTGCGGCCAATGTGTGCGGTCAGAATGTGTGTGAGGCTATACAAACTTAGTGTTCTTGGCTAAAGATACTACCTTTTATGAAGATCCTTAAGGATATATGGATGATACTTGAGAGGATTTCGGGTCCTAGCTTTGAAGAAGTGTAGAAAAGTGTTCCAAATGGCTAAGTGTTGAATATATAGGAGGGACTGTGCGGTTGGGAGGGGTGTGAGGCCGCACACACCTTGTGTTGGTGTGATTGGCTCGAATGCAAGGCGATACACCCACAATGCTTATCCAACAACTCCTACCCTGCTTATACTAGGCTTTAAACACTTTATTTTACTCCAAATAGTGCTAAACATGAGTTTAACTTTGATAAGAATGAAGAATGTAAGCTACAAATTTCCAGGTTGTCATAACAAGTAATGTTATAATCTGAAAAAAAAAAAAAAAAAACAGAAATGTATATTCATGATGTAAACAAACACTGACCTGGTGAATGGGATTATTTGGTAAAACTTTTAGTATGTCATGATTGATGGTGGTAGTCTTAGACTCAACAGTTTTGTTGGTGGTTTTTGTTTTTGCGTGATATCAAGATTTAAGACATATTTAAACATATATTTTAATAAAAAAGATTAAATAAAAGTATTGAAAACTGTAAAGTTAGTATATACTACTGTTGCATATTTCATGGAAATCAATTTTGCATCGGGTGCTGCAGTTGCAGATTTCGTTTGAACAGGTATTTTTGTTGGGTTTTGGAATAACCTACATAATATAAAGTCCAACATGAAAAATCAGAAATCAGTATCAAACATATATATATATATATATATATATATAATATATATATATATATATATATATATATATATATATATATATATCAACAATGGTCTAATAAGACGATAACATACTTGTGTTATAGGTTCTGAAGGATCATTGGTTTTGAGACTAATAGGAGACGTTTCATTACTCTGTACAATCTTCTCACTTGAAATACCCTGGAAAATATAAAGAAACAGGAAAAATGTTTAAAAGAAATGCAATTTAGAACTAACATTGACAACAAATATTTTCAATAAGATTAGTTACAATTGTATGAGACAGATTTGGAAAGTCATCTCCTTTTGCATTAAGATGAGCAAAAACTAGCTTTAGTGTTTGATCTTGTTCATTAACCATTGTAGACAAAGCCTTGAGTTCAACATCTTTTTTCTCAAGCTCAAGCTTTTCCATTATGCAGTGCAACTTTAAGATCTTTAATTTCTTCCTTAGATGACCCTTTGCTACGAGGAACAATGAAATATCTGTTGTAAGTGACTCCCATGCCGACACCCTTTAAAAATCTGCCCTTTTCCTTTCCAAAAACTAAGGTCATGGCATCCATTCCTGGTTCAACATTTACTTGTCCTTCTTTTATCTGCTTCTCATGTTCCATCTACCAAACAAAAAATTAATAATTATTGTCTTAATATCAATGATTAAAATATTTAAAGTAAAAGAAAAAGAAAAGTGTAGTGAAGTTACTAGTTTATCAGCCATGATTTTAACATCTTGATCCTTAAATTCTCCTTTACTTTCACGCCCTTTACACCACATAACTGACCTTGGGGGAATTTCCTCCTTCGAAATCACATTCTCTTCAATCTTGATAAAGAAAATTAAATTATAAAGAATATGAAACAAAAGCATGTTAAATAAATTGATATGAAGTTAATGTAGCTTACCAACTTTCTCCTAGGAGTTGTATACCCCCCTCGTCCCATCCGATGATCATACTTTGACATCTTTCTCGCTTTGATAGTCCTTTGTGACACATTTTATGAATTAAAAGTAACATATTTGTCACAAACTTTTAGAACCTAGATTATGATAAATAAATGAATAAGTTTTGAAAAAATATTTTAACATTAAACTCTTGAGATTGTATATAAGTCATAAATTTGTTCCAATCATCGTGTTCAGTGATTAGTGCACGATAACGAACTGGGATTTTTTCAAGCATATCGGTATCGCCTAGATGTGGTTTGATGTAATCTGAATACAACTTTCTTATGAAATTCTGTAGAAGAATACCAATTCTATTCATCACAAATTTTTTTCCACTTTCATGAACCTCAAAATAGCACTAAAAAACAATGAGAATGTTAGTATTTAAAACTTGATTATATATATACTATATATATATATATATATATATATATATATATATATATATTATGTTATACAAATTAAAAAATTAAAGAAAATATTTACTGTTATCTCTTCCCATAGTTTGTCCTTCAATTCCGGTTTAACTTTTTTCCAGCAAAGAGCACTTAATCCCACCTTCTCGCTGACAAGATCACTCAAATAGCTAACAAAGACTGCATTATTCTTCCTTGTAAACTTACCAAATTTATCAAACCTGACACGTTTTTTTTCCACCAGAATTGACATATTCAGTCTTCAATTTTGGCAATCGAGTCATGCCCCTCTTCCTACCTGATTTTGTAGGAACTGTTTTGTGGATTTCTTCTTCCGAATCTGATTGGCTATTGTATTGAATGTCTTTATTTTCACCATTCTCTGTATGCGAATCATATTCTTGGTTTCCATCATCTAGCTCATATTTTGTATTATAGTCATGGATATCCTCATGTTGTTCCTTGTCAACCTCCATGATTCTTGTGTTGAAAAAACAGATTGAAAATAAGTTTGATTGTTTATAAGTTTAATGATAATGTATGAACAAATAATACTACAGACAATTGCTCACATAAACATTTCATCGAACAGTTAGTGTGTAAGAAGCACACCAATATGAAAAATCAAAATTCTTTGTGTTATGCATGATCCGTGATCAATACAATCAATAGCATTGAAACTATACGTACACAAACAATATACTTACACTAGAAAGCTTGATGAATGATGAACTGAAGTATGATCCTTCTAGGATATAACCAAATGCTAAATAAAACAATGGTAGAATAAATGACAGTCTATTAAATATTAAAATGATTTAACAGGTCCTAAATTGATGGAGGTTACCAAAAACTACTGGGATTTCTTTCATCCGATGGATTGATCTTCACAGTTTTGGTGGTGTGATAGATGAAGATTTCCAGCTTTTATTTGGAGCCCAAAAACCATACAAAAAATATTTTCCTCTCATTACTTTTTGTTTAAATTCATTTGAAAAATTCAAATGTGTTTCAAATTTTGAGCTCATAGTAATCCCACACGATTAGAAGAATCAATCGTGGTTTGGAAACATGTCCTGCCTTTTCAAAAATTAGTATGATTTATTTGGTAAGAATATAAATATTACATATTTGATCCTTCTAAGTTAACAATTTATTTTTTGGAAAAACATTTATGACTATATGAAATAAAAAATATATATAAAGTTAAAAAATTGTATATACAAGGGAAAAATATTTTTATGTAACAAAAATATTAATATGGTCTAGTAGGCGTACTTATTTATAATAATAATTTATATGCCATAACTCCATAAAAGAATGACTATCCTATGGTATTACACACTTACAACCAGTACATCACCAAATGAGGTCCAAACCCACAACCAACACTATAGAAATGACCAAATGAGGTCCAAACCCACAACCAACACTATGGACATGACCTAATGAGGTCTAAACTCACAACCAACACTATAGATATGACCAAATCAGGTCCAAACCCACAACCAACACCCATACATGACCAAATGAGGTCCAAACCCACCACCAACACTATGGACATCAGCAAATCATGTCCAAACCCACAACCAACACTATGGACATGACCAAATGAGGTCCAAACCCACAACCAACACTATGGACATGACCAAATGAGGTCTAAACCCACAACCAACACTATGGACATGATCAAATGACGTCCAAACCCACAACTAACACCCATACATAACCAAATGAGGGCCAAACCCACAACCAACACCCATACATGACCAAATGAGGGCCAAACCCACAACCAACACCGATACATGACCAAATGAGGTCCAAACCCACAACCAACACCCATACATGACCAAATAAGGTCCAAACCCACAACCAACACCCATACATGACAAAATGAGGTCCAAACCCACAACTAACACTATGGACATGACCAAATGAGGTTACCAAATGAGGTCCAAAACCACAACCAACACTATGGACATGACCAAATTAATTTTACATATTAATTAGAATATATATATATATATATATATATATATATATATATATATATATATATATATATATATATATTGTTTGATAAAAAAAACAATGCTAGTATGGATAATTATATTTAATTAATATTGTAGATAGTTTTTTACATGAATATAATAAATATTAATGTAAATACTATATATATATATATATATATATATATATATATATATATATATATATTAATGTGTAATACGAAAATGTGTATTCATTATCATAGCCGAATAGCCTTCGTTCAAAATACTCCTCTGTAGAATGCAATTAATCGGAGAAGTGATGGCCTCAGTCGACATCCCTTCACCTCCGACTGATGATCCTTATAAACCGTTCGCTTATGTCAATGTCGTCATTCTCACATATTCATTACGTCACGATAACTTCGATTACTCCTTCTTCCTCTTTGAAAAAAATATGTCGATTTTCAAAAAAGAAGATGAATGCTGATCTGTGGGCCCGTCCGAACTTCAATCTCTGGAGTGTAAGTCCAGAACCACCAAAAAACACACCAGTGGTTGAATACGGGAAGCCAAACGACAAATGTTTCACCATTCGTGTTGTCCATGGTGGGTTCTTTTTAGACTACCCAGGCAAGGCGTATCAACAAACCAAGGTTCACTTCATTTCTCATGTGAACATCGATTTGTTAGACATGGAGTTGCTTGGGCGTTTTTCTAGAAGCCTTGGGTATACCATTTTGGGGAACTGGTATCATATGCTCATCGGAGAACACAGTGGGTGTCAATGGTTCCAATAGTAAATGATGAATGTTTGGAACCATTCAAGACGTTAGTTAGGGCCCACGAATTCAAAGAGATTGAACATCTCTATGTTGAACACAGGCTTGTGTTTGTTCCAAAAAATTTCCCACACTTTTTGATGAACTCTCTAGCCAAACATGTTGAGAAGCTTATTCACATATTTGTAACAGAACATCCAATGGCTTGGGTTGATGATGGAATAGCATACATCCAACATATGCTAAACATGATAATTCCAAGATAAAAAATGGAGGATGCTATGGACATGGCGGAAAAAAATGTCGTAGCATTGAAAAACATGGCCTATGTGAACTATGTTGTAATCTTTTTTGTCATTAATATAGAGTGAATATGATACTCTACTTTTGTACTTAATATGAAACTCTTTTATTTAATTAATTGTTATATATTATGTCTATAGGTCATATTGTTTTGATTATATAGTAAGCCTACATTTGATGTTTTACATTATGTCCCTATTTGGATATATTATGTTGTGAAAAAGGCAATGTTGTTTGCTAACACAGCGGTATAACAGTCTGTTACATGTTATATGCCCAAATTTGATGGTGTTTGCAATATAAATGTCTTAGGGGCAAAATCGGAATTAGTTATCATAATAATTTTATATGTTATTTATATGCATGTTTTACATAACTTGTAACTGAGTCATCTTTGCCCTTGATATAGTTAATTTTTTATTAAGATGGCAATATACTTTGAAACTTAGTTGTAACCTGTATTTATGCTAACACAGGGGTATAACAGTCATTTATATATTATATGTCCATATTTGATGTTGTTTTTAAAGTAATTGTCTTGTGGGCAAAATGGTGATTACTTATCGTTCTTTAGTTTATATGTTAATTATGTCCATGTATTGCATTTTTGTCCCTGATATATAGTTAATTTTTTTATTAAGATGGCAATGTACTTTGAAACTTAGTTGTAACCTGTATTTATGCTAACATGGGGGTATAACAGTCATTTATATATTATATGTCCATATTTGATGTTGTTTTTAATGTAATTGTCTTGTGGGAAAAATGGTAATTACTTATCATTCTATATTTTATATGTTAATTAATTATGTCCATGTCTTGCATTTTTGTCCCTGATATAGTTAATTTTTTATTAAGATGGCAATGTACTTTGAAACTCAGTTGTAACATGTATTTATGATAACACAAAGGTATAACAGTCATTTATATATTATATGTTTTATATGTTAATTAAGATTGTTTTAGCAAGGGTATATTTGTCCATTGATTGTTATTATGATAAAACAAACAAAATTATATAATTTCCTGCTAACTGTGTTTTTATTAGATCAGTTTTACTAGATTCCTTTCTCTGTTGGTTAATGTTTTTGTTTTTTCTGGTAAAACAATTATTTGCAAACAAGCAGACACCCTACTTGGTAAGTGTCAATGTAGTTATTGGTATATTTTGGAGTGTCATGGGTTCAAAACCAATTACAAACACTTTTTTTCTTTTGTTTAATGTCTCGATATGCCCCTGATCATCCACTTTTTTATCACTTTCCCACATGCCCCAGATCATCCAGACTCATTGCGTAAATATCCTAAATTAGACAATATGAATTCCTATTGATTGAATCTCTGATAACTACAAAGGCACTGCAACTACGTTTATTCTTCAACCAGAAATTGATGCGTCAAAATCAAATTCATACAGGTACAAATACTATATTTAATTAATATAGGAAATTACAATTATTTTTCGTTCAAGATATTGTATTTATTAGTAATGTGATCTATTTTGTTTATGCAAACCAACTGTTTGTTAAAATGGGTCAATAAACAGGAAACGTATATTGCTTGTTGACGTTGTTGTAAGCTGAATATGGATAAGTCTTGGATGGGAACATACAAAACATCAGAAACCTACGTAAAAGGTGTTGCAGAATTTATCAAATGCGCAGTGCACAATTACAAGATTTCTAAACATATGGATCCTGCAGATACCAAAAAAATATAATAATTTTGTGTCCATGTGTTAAGTGTGTAAACCACATATATCATTTGGTGGATGTGGTAGATGATCATCTATTCCGGAATGGAATTGATCAAACATACACAAATTGGAATAAGCATGGAGAAACAGAAGAACCACCAAGAAGTTATGTATATGAACATAATTTTGACATGGATACGTAAAACGATGTAGATTCCACGAACATGAACACAGGAATGCCAACAGATGCTGCAGAAACTGTAGAGAAGGTTGAAGTTGTAGAAGAAATTTTATTGGGAACCCTGATAAGTTTAGAGAACTGACAGAGGATGCTGAGAAGCCCCTATACACAGGGTGTCATAATTTCACAAAGTTATCTGCAATCATTCAACTACTCAATTTGAAGAGTAAGTATGGAGTATCAGATAAGTGCTTTATAGAATTATTAGTTTTGATAAAAAAAAACATGTTACTAGAAGGAAGCAAAATGTACAGTAGTACATATGAGGCGAAAAAAGCATTTAAGGCAATGGGTTCAGGGTATACTAAGATACATGCATGTGTCAACAATTGTATACTTTACATAAACGAATATGCAGACTTGGCAGCATGTCCTACTTGTGGTAAATCAAGATGGAAGGTTGATGAACAAAAAAAATAAAATTTACAACAATATTCCTGCAAAATGTTTGTGGTACTTTCCAATTATTTCGCGCTTCAAGTTTCTTTTCCAGTCTAAGACAACTGCTAAAGATTTAACTTGGCACACAACAGAGAGAATGGTGGACGTTGGAGTTTTAAGTCACCCAGCTGATTCACCAGCATGGGCTGCCATTGATGACAAATATCCTGATTTTGCTAGCGAACCAAGGAATTTGCGACTAGGAATTTCGGCGGACGGGGTTGATGTGAACAGAGGAAATAGGATTCATAGTGTTTGGCCTCTTTTAACTGTCATTTACAACCTTCCACCATGGTTGTGTATGAAGAGAAAGTTCATCATGCTTTCGTTATTGATTTCGGGAACACCAGGAAATGATATTGATGTGTTCCTAGCACCTTTTATTGATGATCTGCAATTATTATTTGATTTTGGAGTTGAAACATACGATGCATATGCACAAGAGCATTTTAAACTACGCGCACTTGTGTTATGGACTATTAATGATTATCCTGCTTTAGGTACATTAAGTGGTTGCCCATACAGCGATTTTCAAGATTGTGTTGTGTGTGGTGAAGAGACACACTGCATTAGACTCCCTGAATAGAATAAGCAGAGTTATGGTGGTCATAGAAGATTTCTACCGTATGATCACCCGTTCAGAAGACAAAAGAAGGTATTCAATGGACAACAAGAGTTCTCACCCTCTCCAGTACCTATGAATGGGGACAAAATATATAACATGGTAATATTTATAATTAATAAATGGGAAAAGGTTAATAAGGGAAATGAGGTAGAAATCCAACAATCAACAAGTGGAAGAGGTGGGATGATGAATAAAAAAAAGAGAAAATCACACCAACTGGGTACTTAAGATGTGGGCCAGCAAAATAATACATACTGGAAGAAATTCAATATATGGTATAGACAACTAAGGTATTGGCCCGACAATTTGGTTCCACATTGTATAGATTTTATGCATGTGGAAAAGAATGTGGGTGAGAGTTTAAAAGGAACTGTTTGGAACGTTCCCAGGAAGACGAAAGATGGTTATAAAGCTCGATTGGATTTGGTTCATTATGGTTTAAAACCAGAGCTGCATCCTCAGATAGAAAGGAACAACACAACACTTCCCGCAGCAGGTTGTACATTGACAAAAGAGGAAAAAGACAAATTCTGTGAGACTTTATACAACTTAAGGGTTCCTCAGGGGTATTGTTCTAATTTTTCTAGTTTGGTGAGTCTAAAGGATAGAAATTTGATCGGACTAAAATCACATGACTATCACATGCTCATGCAACAATTTTTACCCATAACAATTCGATCTATTATGCATCCACCCACCAAAGTTGCTATTACAAGGTTTTGTTTCTTTTTCAAATCAATATGTAGCAAAGAAATCATAGTGGATGAGCTCGATAAGTTGCAAGAGGAGTTATGTGTAACCTTATGTCTTCTTGTGAAACACTTTCCACCATCATTTTTTGATGTGATAATTCATTTAACTGTTCATCTCACTAGGGAAGTAAAATTATGTGGTCCAATATTCTTTAGATGGATGTACCCATTCGAAAGGTATATGAGGGTTATTAAGGGGCACATGCGAAACAAAAATAGACTAGAAGGATGCATTGCAGAAGAGAATGTTGCAGAAGAGACAATTGAGTTTTTTAGTCAATTCCTTAAAAGGATGGATACTGTTGGTATTCCACCTGATAATCATAACAATTGTGGAATTCATAAAGGTGTAGATAGTAGCTCTATTACGGATGGTACTCCTGTATCAGCTGCTAAATCGGTAGAAGTTTCTGCAGAACTATTCAGCAAAGCACATTTCTTTGTATTGCAAAATACAGTTGAAGTACTCCCATATATCAAGTAAGGGTTTTTACATGTATGTTTTTTATAATAATATTAACATTAACGTATTGATAGATGACACATGGAATTTTTGGAACATCTACACCTTACTAAACGAAAGGCACATCTAGAACAAGAGCATAATAAAACATTTGGTCATTGGTTACGAAAGGAGGTATATTCTTTTCAAATATGTTGTATTCTTTGTTATTTTTATCTTGATTTCTTAAATTCATAATCTAATTAAAATTCAGGTAAAGAGATAGTTAGGGTCCTGTAGAGAAAGTATAACAGAGACAATGAGATGGATTTCACATGGACACAATAAGAACATTATTAGATACGGCGTATATGCTATTAATGGATATACTTTTTGTACAAAAGCTCGTGAAGGTAAAGTTTGCCAAAACAGCTGGGTTAGTGTTGTTGCAACTGACACATACATCATTAAAGAAGTTGTAACATATGCCAAAAACACTTATTATGGTGTTTTACAAG